CCTCCCAAAATGGTAAAATATAACCATTTTTATAAAAACAAATATTAAAAACTATCTCTCATATTATTATTGTTCGTGTGATTACATTTAATAGGATTTCAAGAATAACTAAAACACCATGTCATATAGGTAGTTAGTTTCTTTCTTTTTTTTTTCAAATTAATTATCGTTATATATATGAAAAAAAAATCCTTCGGGTTCAAGCCCCCCTCAAAATTAAATCCTGGATCCGCTAGTGTTATGACCCAAAGTGGATTTAGGCCAAAACGTTACCTAATCCAGCTTGGCTTGGTCTCAGGCTATATAAAGTTTACTTGCCTTGGTACTACATCAATTTTCCATTACTAGACTAACTATGTTTATTTCATTTTATGGAATACATTCAAATTTAATAAAATATATTTAAATTTACAAAGCAGTTTCCCCAATGTATAGTAAGATATTATAAAACATTAAAGGAAAACAATCTGCCGTGCTCAAGGATAAAAGGGATTAGAAATATTTATAATAAATTAAAAAATAAATAAAATATCTATAACGTAATTTATACTAATTAATTTAATTATTATTTTTTTAAAAATTTAAATACATAAGCAAGTTCACACATAATACTTCTCATGATACATTTTAAGAACTGTTTACATATTTTATAAATTAATGTAGCTGGGGGCTTAACAAGAATCGGTTCGAATGAGCTTTAATAAAGAATGGATTTGATTCTCAAAATATGTAGCTATATGTCAGTAATCTGTTTGAGAGTTATTTCGAAGGCATCGACGGAGATGTGATTACTTGGAGAATTGAGTTCCACTCAATTTGGGTGTGTATTCAGCTCTTATTTCAGGCAAAGAGGTAAGAATTTCTTGCAAAACAAGGAGAAAAGAGGATCGATTTGATGCATTCTCCGATTAGGTGGATGAGATTGAATTTTTTTAATTAATTCCTGTAAATTCATCTTAGTATTGCCATGTCCCTCGTAAGATAAATTAAGATAACAAAGAAATTAATATAAAATAAAATAAATAAATAAATAAAAAGAAAAAAATATATTTCAGAGGTGTCTCATTATTAGGCTCATGATAACATTTTATACATTAAAAAATATAATTCCACCACTTTTCCTCAACGAAATCCAAGTTCCATTGTCAAGCTCTCCGAAAAATTAAATTATCGTTTCAAAATCATCACATTTTTTTTTCATATTTTAGGCAATAAAACTTCCAATTTTCTTCATATTTTTTATTTATGCTTGTTGTTTATTACGTTTCGGGACAATTTTCCCATCATCAGAGCAATATTTTTATTTTTCCATTCATTTTTTTAACGTAAGAGACAACAAGCATAAATAAAAAAATATGAAGAAAATTGGAAGTTTTATTGCCTAAAATATGAAAAAATTATAAACGTAAGCTTCCTAGCAAAAAAAAAGAAGATTTTTTTTTATTTGTCTTAAATCTTATTTGTCTTTACTTGTCTTTGCATTATATTCCACACCAGAATGATAAGAAGTTTAATATTGACCGGTTTATTCGATATTTTCCTGCTAACAGTTTATAAATCGATATATTTGGTAGTTATCAAAATAAATATACGAAGAGACAAGTTTAACAACAAATATATGAAACAAATTAACAAATACTGGGACTATTTCTAATTCTGATTTTTTAAATAAAAATGCCCACAAAATCTGTTCTAATCAGTTCTGAGCCTGAATATCATGACTTGCTCTTATCTATTTAGTTTGTGGTAGCATTTTCGGGGATTGCTGTGAGGAATAGAACCACATTAATTTATTATATAATTATTTAGTTAAAATTTATTATTAAACTGTTTTATCTTTTTTTTTATCCTTGTTACAGTTAATTTTTTTATTGGAGTATTACTATTATTTATTTTATTTATCCTGAATACGTGTTACGAATATATAAGTAAAATGCTACTACCATTATCTTTTTTATCAGGCAGAATGTATATTACCATTATTAAAAAAAATTAACAAAACTAAGTATTATCATAAATATTAAAATGCTAACTTCCACGTTTACCTGGTAATTATTTTTTTACGAACTTGCAGGGTTTGAAATAAATAATTAAACAAATAAAAATCAAATCTGATTATAATTTTTAAAAATCGTTTGATAAATTTTATTAAGAGTGATTTTATCATAAGTAATACAAATCATATTCTGATCATTATTTTTCAACAAAATTTTTACAATAACAACAATAATAATTTTTTAGCAATACTATTTTAAATCAGAAATATACAGTTTTGTAATCTCTATGATATATTTTGAGTCTGGAGTAATAGGTGAAGAATATTGTTGTCAATTATTAGGAACAAAGCATTCGTTGTTTCCAAAATTCATCAGAAGTTTTGGATTAAAAAAAAAAAAAATATATATATATATATATATATATATATATATATATATATATAATATTACTATGTTTTTTTAATATATAATTCGACCTTTATGTATTATAACTTAAGATATGAATTATAGTCGGATAATAGGTCATGAAATATACTTAAATGACTTAAAACAACTTCTGTTTATTCCATTTATTCAAAAACGTTTCGATCCCTGTTTTTTAACATAAATAATTGGATCCTGTTCAGTTCTGGAAAAACAATACCTATCATTGGTATAACAATCAAAAGTTTTCATACATTTCAACAATAAAACCAAATTTTTCTTACTTTTATTTGAGCATGGATAGTACAGATGATTTTTATTTTCTGATCAAAATGTTTTTGATCACAATTTATTCATTATTATATGTGTAAAACCGTATCACCCAGTGAGTAATCATTTTTTTTAATCGAATCAATAAACATCAATGATCGATTTAAATTTCTATTTATAAATAAGGCATGATTTTAAAATTAAAAATCAAACATTAATTATTACATGATGCAAATCCTGCTAATTTGGATCAGATATGTTTATTGTTATTTAACATTGTCTTGGAAGAATCTTTATCACAAACAAACATTTTAAAGGGCAGCGGTAACTACCAGCCTTACTTTGTCAGGCTACCTCTTAAACTTTATCGACATTCACATCGACTTTAGGAGAGGCTGTAATGCTGAAGTGGACCCGACAGTCCTGAACTTCCACGTCTCTTGCTAAACTTCATGCCACGAATTTCTCTTTTTTTTCCCTCGAAATTCCTAACTCAGGAAAACCACGCCGGCTGCCACGTGTTCGCCGAGCTACGAAATTAGGTTTTCACTCTTCTGTCACTAACTTGAAGGGGCCGGTAACTGTAGGGAGACCTATTTTTTTTCCTTTTTTTTTTGTTTAATAATTTTTCTTGAATATAGTTAGTCAAAAAAATATATTTAATAATGGAATATAAAATTATTTTAGCTAAAAGTGGTATGACAAAATTTTCTATTATATTTACATGAATTTTTATGGGTTGAAAAAATTCTTCAACAGATTATATTGATTTCTCATTAAGTATTGGATATATCTTTATTAAGAAAGACGTTCCTCACCATCCAATTCTTCCTCAACATATAAATTCTTACAATACGGTTTCAAAACTATAATATACACTTGTAAATATCATGAATAAGTAAATAATAAAAAATATATAAATAATTGCTAAAACTTGGTTCATTCATTTAAATGTACCATCACTTAATTATTAAAGAAAACCCGTCCATTTGCCGGAAGTGTGAAAAGAGAATGACAGTTATCATTCTTCGAAAGTTGAGCCTTTTAAATCAGGGAATCAAACAAAAAGGGAATACCAGAAATACATCAATTGATTTGGGAAATGATGGAGTAAAATTTCGGAAAAAATTTGAGTAAAGTCATATATTTTCTATCTGAAGAAGGAATCTTACAAAATTTCTTAATCTTAGCTCTCATGCAGTTACCCTTCCTTTTCCTTTTTTTTTTTTTTTTAATATATATATATATATATATATATATATATATATATATATATATTGTAACATATTTTATTAGGGCCTTTATAAATTGTAATTGTTAATAGAACTCATGTTCATGTTTTGTTCTTTTATTATTTTTGAACTGTGTGAAAAGGAGCATTTATATGTAATATATTTATAAATTTAATTTATTTCTAGATATTGTATTAACTTTAGTTGTGATTTAATTTGAAATTGTAAAAACAATAATAACATTTAACTAGCGATAAGGATTAAAAGGTATGATGTATTAGAGCTAACGGACGGGAGATCCTTCTCTGTCAAAAGTTGAATTGTAAATGATTAGTGGTATAGTGTTTTGGAGGTTGCGCGTGGCGCCCTCTAGGCGTTGTTCTAATGAACTATTTAATTAATTTATGCAAGTCATTGTTTTTTTCTTATAATGATTAATAATTTTAGTAGCGCAACCTGTTAATTTCCTAGTAAACTATGAATTTCATTTAGAAACTATTTATTATTTCTTTTTATAATTACTGATTTTGTAAATAACTAATGTTTGTAATATTTTTAAAATAAGTATTCATGTACTATAATTAAATAAAAATAAAAGGAGTTTGGACTTAGAGAGATCTCAGGGCCTAATTAAAATAATTGTTACTAGTGTTGTCTCTCACAGGTCTGAGGGCTCACTATTAGTATAAATAGCAGCCTGGCCCTAGGGCAGGCACTCTCTCCCGAGTCACTACCTTCTCACATAGGCTCCTGGTATCTCTCTGTCTGACAGTTTGAAACCAGATCAATGTGTTATTTTTTGGTTTTACCTTCCTCCTTCTCTTTTCTCTCCTAACCTACCTCCTCTCTCCTTTCGTAGGAATAACTTGGTTGGCCCTTGTTTTCCTACAGTCCCCCTTGCATCTTCCAGGTTGTCCCTGGGAGTGTAGGGTTACCTATCCTCGCAACGTCAGGGGATTGCCTCCTCGGTTGCAGAGCCCTGGATGTGTAGGGGTTGTCCCCCTATCATTCTTGGCGGTCTTACCTTATCCTATCCTCGCAACGTCAGGGGATTGCCTCCTCGGTTGCAGAGCCCTGGATGTGTAGGGGTTGTCCCCCTATCATTCTTGGCGGTCTTACCTTATCCTATCCTCGCAACGTCAGGGGATTGCCTCCTCGGTTGCAGAGCCCTGGATGTGTAGGGGTTGTCCCCCTATCATTCTTGGCGGTCTTATCCTTATCCTATCCTCGCAACGTCAGGGGATTGCCTCCTCGGTTGCAGAGCCCTGGATGTGTAGGGGTTGTCCCCCTATCATTCTTGGCGGTCTTACCTTATCCTATCCTCGCAACGTCAGGGGATTGCCTCCTCGGTTGCAGAGCCCTGGATGTGTAGGGGTTGTCCCCCTATCATTCTTGGCGGTCTTACCTTATCCTATCCTCGCAACGTCAGGGGATTGCCTCCTCGGTTGCAGAGCCCTGGATGTGTAGGGGTTGTCCCCCTATCATTCTTGGCGGTCTTACCCTTATCCTATCCTCGCAACGTCAGGGGATTGCCTCCTCGGTTGCAGAGCCCTGGATGTGTAGGGGTTGTCCCCCTATCATTCTTGCGGTCTTACCTTATATACCTTATCCTTCTCATCCTGTCTAAGCTGGTACACCCCATTCTTACAAACTTAAATAGATACACGAATACCAGGTTAATGGACTAACAGAAAGATTAAAGGTTAGAAGGACAGATATCAGATTTTAAAAGACAAACGTCGGCGATAACATACAGACAGACAGAGAGATAAATAAAATAAAAAAAATAAAAATATTACAATATATATATATATATATATATATATATATATATATATATATATATATATTGTGTTTTTTTTTTATTATTATTTTATCAACCAGCATATACAATTATATATAACCTTGATTAACGTGCACTTTACCTCATTTTAATTGTATTTCATTTCTATTATTTGCAACTAGCAGATATAATTATTAGTCCGTGGTATTTAGATCAAAAACAGGTAATTAATAGTTTTATTTGAACTTATATTATTAAAAAAATATTCTCTACTTAAAAAATAGCAGTCCGTGCTACAAAGCCATTTTTATCGAATTATTAACATCCACCTGAAACATCGTAAATAGTCTCATCTGTTCGTAACGTACAACTATTTTTATTTACGAAAACTCTTGGAATTGGGGTGTTTTCAATCTGGAGGGGGACGAACTTCCCCCTGTCTATTTAATTAATTAGGTATTATGTAGGACAAACGGCTTAATATTTTTGTAGGCTACCTTTTTTCTCGCTTTTGTGATCAAATTAGAAAGCAAATGGGTATTTGGGTATTATGGGTATTTTCAGCACCTAATTCAGTAGACAAAGTTTGTCTCCCTCTAGATTGAAAACGCTTCAATTTCAAGAGTTTTACCACCAACCTGAGGTTACAGCATGTCCGGTCACCTACTTATGCTGTCCTAAGCTCTGCTTTCATGTATTTATTATACACTAACTACATAAATTATATATTGTCTATTTTGATAACTTTTTATTGATATAAGAAAAGGGAACTAATTCACAACAGAATTTCCAAAAGTTAATATGAAATAATACGTTAAAATTAGTGTACGCCTGCGAATCGTCACTTAGACCTAAAATGATTTATGATGTCAGTAAAGCCCTAAAAATTTACAACAATTATTAAATTTTAAACTTATAGCAAAACGCTATAAGTACTTAGTTTATGAATTCCAGTTTTTCGACAAATTCATTAACTATTTGAATAACCTCTTTTGATCAAATTTCATTTCCATTTTTATAGGTTCACACTATAACGAAAATTCCTTCCCAGATCTACTACAGTATAAATATTTTCTATATATATATTTTTTTTTTGCTTTAAAATATTTATTTGCATCTGTCAACTTTAGGTCGACAATCAACAAATGAGCTCATAATATAATAAATGATCACATGTTAGGCACGTGGAAGGATATTACTCAGAAGCACCTCTTCCTGACTTGTTTCAATTACTTAGGTTGTCCAAGAAAGGAGATCTCTCATCCAACGCATTTTTATGATGCGTCCGTTTAAATTTGTATATAAACGCCGGTAAAGGGTGATTACATGTTGGTCAACGTTGGAAGATGGAGGTCGGTATGTAGAGTTTTGTTGATAAAGTAACAATGTGCTTTACAACAAGGTGAATCGGAATAATTTTGATTAGAAGGCTTGAACCTTATTTACGTGGGTATTTTTAGCGATAAAGTATCTCTGTGATGCCCATGTGGTTTTAAGTAATTATGTATATATATTCAGTTTCAGGCTGCGGTGGGTAAAGATGGAACAAATTTCCACATTCTGAGTGAGATAATGGTGATCCTCATATTCTTAAGAACATTGTCTAGAAGGCGGAACCACAGAACTGTTCTCTTCATCGACTCTCAAGCAACTATCCTCGCTGTTACAAATACGAATGAATGATTATCGAGTGCAATACTGAAATGCAAATCCCTCCTCTCTAACCTGACACTCCGAGGCACCAATGTGGTCCTACAGGGGATCCCCAGCCAGGGATTCCGGGAATCGTTGAGGCTGATATTCTTGCCAAGCGAGGAACAGATTTGCCTCAGCCGATACATCTAAAAACATACAATTCGATACGGCGAATGGTAAAGATGGTAGTGAAGGGAGAAATAAGAAAAGCACATTTTGGCAAAGTGGAAGGGAAACGTTAATAGTGTTTGAAGGATAATCCGATTCCAGCTGAGCTGCCGAGAAGAGATGCAGTTGCCTACTTCCGGCTGGCCATTGGTCACGACTATCTGCAGAGTTATCTCCTCTACAAGATAAGCGTGGCTGAGGATCCTACCTGTACATTGTGTCATCAAGGAACAATGAATGCAGACCATCTAGACACATGTCCTGTCTTAAGGGATATAAGAGAAAAAAATATTTTTAAATATATATATTAAGAAATCTAAATTATACTGCGCAGCAAAATATCGGATGGTCAAATGACCAACGACTGGCATAAGAGAAAAAAAAAAGTTTCTGTCTCAATTTGAGTTTTGAAAATTTATAAAAGAGAGGGTAAAGTAGTTTGAGCCGTTTATTGTCGAATGTAAGTCCAGGATTAAGTACCGTGTCTGTTTGAGGAATTCAGTTGTAAAAATGAATTGAAGCGCAGGTGTTTTCCGTATAGTAAATGTTATACGTATATCAAATAACATTTCGAATCAAAAAAGTGATTGTTTTAGACAAATTACTATTATATCGATATCTAATATAATAAATTGAAGTAGACCGTTAAATTAAATTGTTCGACTCAAATCAATTAGCATTCTATTTAAAAAATATATATAATTAATAATAATTACGGCAAACATTTTCTTTCTTGTTTTTAAATAAAAAAATATTATTCCAAGAAGAGAGGTTAGCTCAAAACCACACTATTGTAAGTTTTTCCATGTCTTTTTTTTCTATTTTATTAATTGTAGGATATTACAAAACATTCAGAGAATAATATTAATTATTTACTACTTTCATGATATTAATAATAACAGGCAATTGATCTCAAATTGAAAAAGGTGAACTTTAAATTTCTAAGTCCTATTCGTTCGTCTCAAAGTCTGGGTTATTGGTACGGTAAAAAAAGAATTTTCTCTTAATACAATGATTTATAAATAATTTTAAAAATCATTTATATTATTTGAAACATCAATAAATATTTCCATGTGTATTTTTACGTATTTTATTTCAAGCACACAGACTTTCATTAGAGCAAAATAAATTATTTTTTTATTTTTGTTTATTAAGTAAATATAATATTTTTTTTTTAAATAAGAGATTAGCGCATAAACAAAAATCTAAACCCTTTTATTAGAACGTTTTCATCAATCTCTACCATTTCCAAGAAGTTTCCTAAAAGTTGGAAGAAGCCCAGAAGAGTGATCGCGGTAGTTTGGTGAGAAATGAACCTAACGCGAAATACTGCAGTAGACAGCCCTGGACAAACAGAAGCCAAACCTCGACCTCATAGTCCAGGAGGACATTTTGACATTCTTTGTTTGAAGTAGGTCCTTTGTATCTCTAGTGTTGAGTCTCTGCTGAGCATCTCTTGCCCATGACAGGTTTTACAACACATACCCGATAATTAATATCGACGGATATTTTCAAACCAGCCAGTCACGTATGGAGATTTTTGCTCAGGAGATGTATGTATACATTAGAAATTTATACATTATTTCCTAGATTTGATATTTTTTCATTAGTTATTCTCCCCTGCCTTTTTTCTAATAGATCCAATTAAATAAATAATAACTCTACAACATTCTTTATTTATTTTATTTCTACGTTTCAGAAAATCATTGTCTCTCTCTTCAGCACCTAAAATTATATACACGGTTAAGGGTAATAATAATAATAATAAAAAGGCTTAACGAACCCGAAGGTTCGATGCCGACACCACCAATCGCTTATTGCACACCTCCCTCCATCGTTCGCCGTCCAAACCCAGTCCCTTCAGATCGGCTTTAATGCAATCTTCCCACCTTCGCCTCGGTCTACCCCTTGGACGCTTACCATTCGGCACAGCAAATATTAACCTTTTAGGAATTCTCTCGTTACTAAGTCCAACAACTTTACAAGCCCATTTGATTCGCCGCGATGAAATTAATTCAATTATATTACCCGGATACAGTTCACGCAATTCGGCGTTGTGTAACCGTCTGAACTCTCCGGTTAACTCATCATTCTTCGGTCCGAATATTCTACGCAATACTTTATTTTCAAAAACCTTAAGACGCTGCTCATCCCTTAATGTTAGCGGCCAAGTTTCGCACCCATAAAGAACTGTAGGCAAGATAATTGTTTTATAGATTCTAATTTTTAAGTTCCGGGACAAGAGGCGCGAACTGAATAGTTTTGTCACAGAAAAATAGCAAGCATTCCCCACCTTCAGTCTAACCTTAATTTCTTCTCCAATTTCGTTTTTTCTAGTTATCGTAGAACCTAGAAACCTAAACTTATCTACCTGTTCAAACATATTACCATCTATATCGATATCACCAGTAGTATTGCCATTTTTGCAGCTAACCATATATTTTGTTTTATCCACGTTTATTTCGAGTCCTAGTTCTTTACCGGCTTTCATTAACGTTGTCGTAGTTTTATAGTTTCAAGATCTTCGCTTAACAGTACCAGATCATCCGCATAACCCAGCACGGATGTTGTCCCACCCAGATCCAACCCTTTCTCGGTACGCATTACCTCCCTAATGGCATGTTCTAATGCCAAATTGAACAGGACAGGCGAAAGGGAATCCCCCTGTTTTAAACCCGAACGAACCTCAAATTTTTCGGACAGATTATTACCGATTCTAACTTTAT